CAAAAGCGTTTCAGGTAGATTGCTCACTCATGAAGTTGACCTGTTGGCGTTATAGTGGGCAGGGCCCTTATAACTGTTTCTCTACCTCTGGTAGCACTTTTTCTGTTGCCAGAGCATCCTATAAGGTCCCTAACTCTAAAATGTCTATACACAAATGAGGTTCAAAACTGGTTTTGTCTTTATTTGGGGCCCACACCCTGTAGTGCTCAGGTACTCAGCTTGATACTTGGAAATCTGAATCCCATGGTGCTCTGTGGACCATACAGTGCTCATATGGAACCAGAATCTCCTTCATGCAAAGCACATGCTCCAGTCTGTGGAGCTATCTGTTGTACTGTATTTTTTTTTTTAACAAAAAAGTCTTAGAAGTACATTTACAGTGGTCAGAAGCCCTAGCACTGGTGAAAGAAAATAGGTGGGTGCCCTGAAAATTAGTGCATATGAAATCCCTGGCACCACACAAATTCTGGAGAACACTGGGTTGTGCTGGGTGCACCGCCAGAGACCCTCGTGTACCGCCAGGACCCTGCCGTCAAAGGACCCAAACTGAGCACTCCCTTGCATCTAACTACTGGTCCAAATGATCAAGAATTGCGAGTGAGGACTCCAGGCCTCTTGAACAATCCTACCCGTACCGCAAAAAATAAAAAGAAAATTGTATTCTATTCTTTGCTGACATAGGTTAATCCATAGAGAACCATTAAACCTCACTGTTTCTACGTGCGGATGGACTCAGCTTTGGGGACTGAAATGAGGCCTCACCACACCTCAGAGACTTGCCTTTGCTTTTCTCTTTCCTAAAGAGAGTTTTGTTTCTCTTCAGCAATACAGCTTTCACTGTGGATAACCAGTAGCCATCACTGCCACCCACCACTCTAAACTTGGAAAGCACATTAGTGCTGACCCAGATAACTAGAGAATCGGGAATAGATAAGGTCCCTGGTGCCCACTAGTTTTCAGACCCTTTTGCCATTGGGAAATGCAAATAGACAAGCCTTTGCAAGCAGGGGAAATGTACTGATGAGCCGAAGATGAGTCGCTAACCTGGTGTCCCAGCAGCCCAGATTAAAGTAGCCTCGTTTCTTTATATTTCTGCTACTGTATCCTTTATGTGCTGAAGAAGTTATGGAATATTAATCTTCGGGAAATGAGTTTTTGTATTTCAGTTCTGTGGTTCAAATACTGTATCTGCTGGGAAAGGAGGGTTCCCCTCTCCACTTTGTAAGCTCACAGCTGGCAGGAGCTGTTGCAATATCCTTGCCTTCCCATCATCAGCTCCACCCGAGCCCCAGGCAGTTGGGGCCCCCAATGAAACACTCCCTGGCCAAATGGTTGCGGTGAATTTCAAAATAAAAGATCTGGGCGGCAACACTTCATCGAACATCCTGTCCCATAGAATCAGCATTGTTAACTGTGCCACCTCTCTGTTCTAAATTTAGACATTTTTCACCAAAACATTTAAGAGAAAAAATTTGCCCAAAGTCATCCCCCCACCCCCACCCCCACCCTCCGGACTTCATTTTTGTTTCCTGCAAATGTTTAGATGACTCATTCTCTTCCAAGTAATTTTAAAGGAAAGACATGCGGACTCCGTGATAGCACACAATGACAGCTTTGGAGAAATTCTTTTTCTTCCTGCCTAGGAACTCCTGACTTTTTTGAAAAAATAAAAATAAAAAAATAGAGAATGGAAAGGCACTCCATTCTTCATATGCTGGACCTCATCAGTTTCTGTTGCTTCTAGGAATAAATGTCCTCCTTGTCTTGGGGTAGGGTCTCCTTGCCACTTGCAGCTCTGACACACCTCCAAACAGGCACAAGCCTGCGCAGAAGCCCGTCCTGAGAAGCTGGGGGCTAAACTTGCTCCAAATCACACAAGTTTCTGAAATAGAGAAATGGATTTCTCTTTTATAGATAAAAGGATTTTCTTTTTAACTGTCCGTCAAAGAGGAGGTGCTAGCTGTTTCCTTCGTCCTCTCCTGTACCACCGGATTGCTGGAGGTTGGATTGGATACGTACAGGAATAGCGCTATTCCCAGCCCAACCTTTAGCCAGAGGGAATCAGAATTCTGGCTTCCGCAGCTTGTTGAAGCAAGCAGGGATAATAGTTGAGTGTGCCCTTTTTCAGCTAACATATACACAAAGGGAAACGTCTGCTTAGGCATAATTGCTGTTTTATTGGGTTTGCCCTCTTGGGGGAGGTAGGTGGAGCTAAATTATTTAATTGTGGGTAACTGTCACCTTCTCTTGTGTCCTCTGCTATTTGATATAACCTCGGGATGGACAGGACGGACGGGACATGGTAAGGAAGGCTAAAGGCTGATGGAGGGAGTTGGCCTGGCATGGGGAAGTAGGGCATTTGAAAATGATAGTGTGGTCACATATGGGCCTTGTGATTCTGGTCTGGTTGGTCAATCAGTTTGCCTCTTGATGTTCTCCAATCTCTGCCTTGATTAAAACTGTTTTCTTTCCTCATGAGAAGAAGAGGCTGTTGTCTGAGTTTTTGAATGAAAGGATTCCTCTTTTGTGAGATTGAGTTCCAGGAGTTTGAGAGCACTTGATGAGATACACTTGAGAACAGAAAATTTAAAAACGGGTGAGAGAGGGCCCAAGGATGTAGCTTACCAGCAGAGCACTTGCTATCCTGTGCTCCAAAATAGGAAAGGAAGGGAAGAAAGGGGGAAGGAAACAAAGGGAAAGGGAGAGGAACATAAAAGGACTGATGGGGGGAGGGGTGGCTCAACATGCTGGAGTTCATGTTTGCATGCCAGAGAACAGGTTCAATTCCAGGCACCCCATGTGACCGCCCCTCACCCCCTGGGAAATGACCCCTGAGCTCCAGAGCCTGGGTGGCTCCTGAGCACCACCATGTATGGCCCAAAAGTGAGGGAAGGAAGGAAGGAGGGAGGGAGGGAGGGAAAGAGTTTGACAAGATAACACTCAAGCCTCTTTCGTTTTGTAGGACCCCTCGGATCCTAAGAACTTGCTCATTCTCTTTTAGCCAACTAACCACATAATGCAGGGGGTGGTTTTGAATCTAATATGGACTCAGGAAAAGATGTTAGGAATATTTCATCCAAAGACTTGTATTTTATGGAAAGTGAAACACAGGACCTGAGATATTCACCATATTGCTCAAAACTACCTACTTTATGGTGGCAAAGCTGGGAAGAAGAGATTCTCATCATTGCTAAGGATTTTTTTTTCTACCCTTTCTCAACTATCAGATGTAAATCTTTGTGTCTACTCTTGACATACGTGATAGTTCATAATGAATACCTTAATGGATAATAGCAAGACATACAAGAAAATTACTAATAAACATGTTAAAAAAAGTTATGACTCACTAGAATCAGAGGATTGCAGATTACAATAGAAAATCATATTCAATTGTTAAGACAAAAAGTGAAATAGCATTTTTTGAATGAGTATAGTTTTTTTCAAAGTCAGTTTAATGGTATAACTAGTCTTCAGCTCAGCTGTACAACTTTTAGGAGATAAGTAATGAACTGTACATGCATATATTAGGTAAAGGTAATTTTAAGAAGCACATTATATAAAAATTTTTAAGAAACCACAGGTCCAAAATTAGGAGCTACATAAATATGTTATGTTTATAGGATAGTAATCTGTGACTAAAATATTAATAATATATTTAAATGAATTTTATATCGCAGCTTGTGTAAATAAATCTCAATTTCATAAAAATCTTAAAGACAGATATTTAGAAAATATATACAACAAAGTCTAGAGTGGACATTCAGGCAGTAGGGAATTTTAGGTTTTCTATTATAAATACTCTTTTGTAGTAGGAAAAATATTTTTAAGTTTCATATCTTGAAAACAGTATGATCATCAATGCTTATGTTTCTGACACGCAATACTTCTTTTTTGCCTGGGAACTTGAACTTTGTCAAAAGTAGTATTATACCTTGTGTTAGAAGGGAATTGTTGGTATCTGATTTTTAGTAGGAAAGAGCTAGAAGGAGTTGGCAAAAGATAAAAGGAAGGCTCCCCTCTCAATGACCCAGTGATGCCAATCAGTTTTATCCCCTGTTCTGTTGGACTTGCATAAAGCACTCATTTAGAAGGCCTTTTTCTTATTTCCTTCCTGTTTCCTCATTCTTCTTTATTTTTGCTATTCTCCCTGTGTCAGTTGTCAGATGACAGCACTGAAAAACCTGCAAGCCACCAGTGCTTAGGACTAACCAGTTGGAAACCCTTGACCTTATCCAAACTTAATAATCTAAAGCTAATCTTGTAACAAGTTGTTATTGAGGTAACACTGCCCCAGGAATGAGGGGTAGGAGCCCAGCAAGAGGTATTTGTCCTTCCTACTTCATTGTTCCTATTTCGTTAAGGACGGTGACATCCTTAGTTGCTTATATACTAATTCTCTTTAGCCCATTTATATTTGCATCTTACTTTCTTCCAAAATTTTCTGGAATGCTTGACTATGGTATCCAATAAAATTTAATCCACCTAACACCATTTGCTAGGTTGAATGTGACTTTCAGACTTACTCTTTGGGAGACCAATGGAAAAGTCAAAGACTACAAGCCATTTCTCTTCCACAGGGAAAGCCTTTGAGAGACAATAGAATGGGAACATTTTATTTTATTAAAACTCTTTGAGTAATCTGACCATAATTGGGTCTGATAGGAGTGGTTATGTAATTTGCTGGGTTAAATAATGGACCTTAATTGAGTCTTGTGTTATTTGTCGAGTCAGGACTACTGTTGCGTTTGTTGCCCCTTCCTCCTTCCGGTTTTTTTTTTTCTTTTTTGCTTTTTTTGGGTCACATCCAGCAATGCTCAGGGGTTATTACTCCTGGCTCATGCACTAAGGAATTACTCCTAGTGGTGCTCAGGGGACCATATGGGATGCTGGGACTCGAACCCAGGTTGGCCGTGTGCAGGCAAACACCCTACCCACTGTGCTATTGCTCCAGCCTCCTTCCTTCTGTTTCCCGGTTAACCTTTATTCTTCTTTCCTTGCAGAGTAAAGAAGTTGGCCAGCAGCTCCAAGACGACTTGATGAAGGTCCTGAATGAGCTCTACTCGGTAAATCAGAGACATCTACTGGCCCTTTAGCAAGCAGAAGGACAGCGTTTGGCAGCGCATGGCCCTGGTCACGTCAGCCGTAGAACTGAGCTGAAATTGAAGACAGTGCATGGTGTCCTCATTGGGGTTGACTCCACCCATATTTTTTTTCAAAGTTATTATTTTCAAACTTAAATGAACTCAAAAAAAAATTTTTTTTTCACATTAAGAGCTTTCCTCAGCTTTGCAAGCTTACTCTAGTTCTGTTTGGGCCATAAATGATATAGATGAGCAAGACCTGGGTCACTAGTACATCTGACCCCCATTAGCAGCGAACCATGGCCCCTAAACCTAAAGGCAGGGAACGTAGCTTGCGTTATACCAGTAACATGTGGTGCCCTTTGGAAAAGATTTATGCTTCAAGGTTTGCGTTAGTTCTTGGGTTCATCTACTGCTTTGAGACCCTAGCAGGTGCTCTCGAGCTGTAGTTTCAACCTTTTTTATTCGTATTTTATTCAGCACCGACCTGTGCACCAATCTCAGTGAGCACTGCAATAGACCACTGGTTTGTAACCCTTGCTTGCCTGTTCACTGAAATCAGTCCATGAGCCAGAGGTTAAAAAACGCCGTCACAGAGGAATGCAGAATCCAAAACATATAATGCAAGGGACTAGTTCTGGCAGAGAGAGTTTTGAATCAGCCCTCTAGGGCTTTTTAAAGGCCAGATCTCAGTGATGAGGCAGACTTGAGACTTGCAGAGGACAACACAATCTGTGGTGAGAAGACTGGCACTCGGGCACGTGACGCCTGCGACTCCTGCGTGTTGCTTCATGCAGGGGAGGCGGCAGTGCTTGTTTTCCTCCCGGCCATGTTGCATTCATTATAATTCAGTCACACATGCACACCAAGGAAATTCCTGCTGCCATAAAAGGAATGTTTCAGTTGTGCTGCGAAAGTCCTTCAGGACCCCTCTCCCCAGTGCCAGCCCTTTGTGTCATTTTTCCAGGGTTGCCTCATTCTGTTGGAGGTGAAATTGGTTTCCCTGATTGGTTTGTTTATTTACTGCATTTTCCCCTCTTTTTTTAATTCACAGGCAGACAGGCAGTGGTGACATGCATTAGGGACCTTTGGGATCAGAGAATTCCAAGTTTTTAGGTGTGGCTGTTTTGTCATGGCAACTATTAAGCAAGTAAATAGGGTAGAGTAATGGTCAGACTTGTCTCCAGTGATGCTTGATTTGTTTGGAATCTGCTCTGAAGCCAAGTGGATAGATGGTACAGCTCCCAAGTTTTCATTTCTTTCAAATGAAGATAAGCCTTTTTAAATAAAGAAGTATGTGGACATAAACCACTTTCAAACTGGATGGGTTTCTTAAATCCTTTATCTTTTTAATGCTTCAGTTCTCTAATTTTAGAGTATCTTTTGGGCACCAAGAAGAGCTATCACTTTTTTTTTCTTTTTTTTTTGCTTTTTGGGTCACACCCAGCGATGCACAGGGGTTATTCCTGACTCTGAACTCAGGAGTCCCTCCTGACAGTGTTCGGCAGACCATATGGGACTGTGGGGATCAAACCCAGGTCGGCTGCATGCAAAGCAAATGCCTGATTCGCTGTACTTTCACTCCAGCCCCAAGCTTTTACTCTTTTCTTCTAACAAACAACTCACTAAGATAGAAAATGACACATAAGTTATTATATGAATCCTTTTATTTTTCCCACGAGCATCTTGGGCCTTTGCTATTTGCTGTTTCTGGGGAGGAGTATGTTGGATAAATGCAAACACCAAACCAACTAAAATCTAACACACCACTCATGTATTTATTTATTTATTTATTTATTTTTGGTTTGTTTTAGGGCCACATGTGGTGATGCTTAGGGAAACCATGTAGTGCCAGGTGTAAAGCATGCCCTCAGCCCATTGAATTATCTCTGCAACCCCCAAACCCATCATGCTGCTTATGCAGTGGGGCAGAACACAGAGGAAGAACAGCTTCTAGGAGTCTGTTCGCTTTATTTAGTCAGGGATCTCGTATGCTGTGATGAAAAAAAACAACAGCAGGTCTGGAGGAATAGAGGGTAGGGCAATTGCCTCGCACTCGCACTCAGGGTTTCATCACCAGGATCCCTTATGGTCCCCCAGCCATGGCCAGGAGTGATCCCTGAGATCAGAACCAGGAGTCCACCCAGACCACTGTCAGGTGTGCTTCCCCCCCCCCCCCCCACCACCACACACACCAAAAAAAAAAAGTGTATAATTTGTGATGGAGTGGCAAAGAAACCCTGGAATTGCTCTCATTGAGGAGGGTCGGCCACTCCAGGTATCCCAACATGGCCAGTTACTGACCACTGTGAGGTTCGTTTATGACAGATCATGAAATCTGTGCACTGCTGTGCAAACTCAGAATGTTCTGAACATGGTGTCCCCTGCCTTGAGGTGAATTGGTATACATTGTAATAATTTGTCTGGGGGCAAAAAAGAGGTTTGGTATTTTCCTCTCATGGGCATAGGGAAAAGAGGAAAAGAACAGAAAGAGCCGTGGTCACTAAAAAGTCCTGAGGCGTCTGATGTAGTGTATCAGCAGGGGCGTTTAGCAGTGTCTGTAGAAATTTTATTAGGTTTTCTTGGGAGGTTGTTTTGGTCACGAAAAAACTAAGTCAGTTCTTAGTTCTGGCTCTGTGCTCAGTGATCACTCCTGACAGGGTTCTTTGGACCCTGTGGGGTGCTAAGGTGTCAAGGATCGAACTGGAGTCAGCTGCCTGCAGGGCAAGTGCCCTACCCACTGTACTATCACTCTGACCTCTGTGAACATTTTTAATTTGCACAACTAAGGTGTGGTTTTCTTGAGCCTAAGATGCAACTGAAATTCAGAATCGCATATGATATTTCCTCCAATGGGCATTGTTTTCCGTGTTGTATTTTTTTTCCCTGCACAATGAGCTGACTGGTTTGTTGGCCATGGCATAAGTGGTTTTCATTTTCTGACTGATGTCTTTGAAGACAGAGAGCATACTGCTTCCTGAAGAATCCTGGTATCCTCGCCTCAATTATACTCAGCTTGTTTCTGGGTAAACCTGGCAAGGACATAGTCTGTGGGGTGGCCCTGAAGCCATTTAGGAGCCTGGTAAGCTACCGAGAGTATCTCGCCCGCACGGCAGAGCCTGGCAAGCTCCCCGTGACGTATTTGATATGCCAAACACAGTAACAACAAAGTCTCCAATAGAGACATTACTGGGCCCGCTCGAGCAAATCGATGATCAACGGGAGGGCCTTTCTTTCTTTCTTTCTACATATAAAGAGTCCAGGAATCCCTGGGACTGAGAAAGAAGTTCTAGATGTGGTGCTATTGTTTGCTCTAGACGTTTTGTGCTTCTGAACTTCTCCTGATTATACATGACCTTGACTTTAAGTACAGCCACTGTTAGCTTGCAGAGCACTGGGATTTAGAACCTGCCCCTGGGAAACAGTGTCAGTTACTAGGACTCCAGTTCTTTTGGTCGTGTGTGTTGTAGCACTTGACAACTAAAAGCTAATCCTGAACTCATCATATTGTTTTAGTAGAGGAGACTGAAAAATGAGGCAGCACATAAAATATGAGTTCTGGTAAGGGTTCTCTTTACATTTCTCCATGGAAAAGGAGCATATCAGGCTTTCTGGAGAGAAATTTGAACTAAGTTTTAATTGCCATGAGCTTCTTTCATTCTCTGTCCTTTTTTTAAAAGAAAACTATTACATCCTTCTCTTATTTCATGATGTGCTATCTTCATTTCCCATTGATTATCTCTAGACATATTAAAAGTTTTCTTCTTTCTGTTATACTTTCTGTTTCCTCTAACTTCTTGGTGTGGTCTTCCTCTTTCACAGTGCTTATTTTCCTTAATGTCTAGTCATCTTTAACTGCCTCTTCCCATTTTAAAGTGAAGCTCTGAGGAGTTGATTATAAGTGCTGTTTCAATCATGACCTTCCCTATAGGGTAGTCTGAGTGAGCTGTGACCTTAAGGAAGTGCCAGCTCAGTATGTCCTCATTTCTTTGTATTTTAAATCATGGATTAAGATTCCCCAGACAGGCATCTTCTGATCTCTCACTCAGGTCTGGGGACTGAATTGTGGAGAGGTCTGCACCATCTAATGACTTAGGTATAATTATCAGTGAATTCTCCTATTTTAGATCAGAATTCTCTGATCTTAAGGGCATCCTCCGACAATCCTGGAATCCCCAAACCAGAGACCCGCCCTAGTGAACAGACATCTCAGGAATGGGTTTGGGAAGTCTGTCTGTTCTCAGACTTATCTTAGTTGCTCTCATTCTACACTAGTTCCCTTCAGAGTTCTCTCTCAGAGGAGCCTGGTTGTTTCCTGTTCCCTATTCTTGGTTCACTGATTAACTCATTACTTATTTCCCCACTTTTCAGCTTCCACTTTTATTCCTTTTGCTTTTCTCAGTTTATACATAAAGTTAATAACAAAAATGTTTATTATTTTAGTGCACAGTATAGTACTGTCCTCCCGTTGTTCATCAATTTGCTCGAGCAGGCACGTCTCCATCGTGAGACTTATTACTGTTTTTGGCATATCGAATACGCCACGGATAGCTTGCCAGCCTCTGCCATACTGGCGGAATACTTTTGGTAGCTTGCTAGGCTCTCCGACAGGGGTGAAGGAATCAAACCCAGGTCAGCTGCATGCAAGGCAAATGCCCCAACCGCTATGCTATCACTCTGGCCCACTTTAATACAATAGAACTGCACTGCACTGCACTGTTCTCTCGTTCTTCATCAATTTGCTCAAGTGGGCCCAGTAACCTCTCCATTGCGAGACTTGTTGTTACTGTGTTTGGCATATCAAATATGCCAGGGGTAGCTTGCCAGGCTCTGCCATGCGGGTAGAATACTCTTGGTAACTTGTCGGGCTCTCCAAGAGGGGCAGAGGAATCGAACCCAGGTCAGCTGCATGCAAGGCAAACGCCCTCCACACTATGCTATCACTCCGGCCCATTTTAGTAAAATAGAACTAAAGGCATAAATTCAATATTTATGTTTACCAAAATGAATTTCTCTTCTTAGAACTGAAGATTTACATGTTTTCCCCGTATTTGTATCTAGTATCCCAGTATATAGTTCTCTAGGTTGGTTTACCTATTGCTTCGATATTTGGACATTACTTACTCAAGTTTCAGTCTCTGTGTATTACCCCAGTTTTTCCTTGAGTTGGAGGATATTAGTTGTATTTGTCATATAAATATATATATGTGTGTGTGTATATATATGTATATATATACATATATATAGTGCTACTACTATATATATATACATATATATATAGTAGTAGCACTGTCCTCCCATTGTTGATCGATTTGCTCGAGTGGGCACCAGTAACATCTCACAACAAATTGTGAGACTTGTTGTTATTGTTTTTGACATATTGAATATGTCATGGGTAGCTTGCCAGGCTTTGCCGTGAGGACGAGATACTCGCGGTAGCTTGCCAGGCTCTCTGGGAGGTGTGGAGGAATCAACCCAGGTCGGCCACGTGCAAGGCAAACGCCCTACCTGCTGTGCTATATTTCTGGGAGAAACTGAACAACCACAATGATTGTAAAGCTACCACTGTGTGCATTTCATTTTTCTCACTGTAGAGAAGAGAAGAGAACACAAAAGGAATTCTTAACCCTTACTTATCATCTTTTCCACAAAGTAGTATTTTACTCTTTTTACCAAGACAGTGCTTTAAGGGAAAGAGGCAGTGTATTGTTGGTTTTTATAGCTTTAGTCGTTGGCATTATTTCCTTGTGCTCTTTTTTGGTCTTTTATCTTTATTCTACCTTTATCTTATTCCTCTTTATTTTGCAGCTTCATGAAATTGAAAATTATTTCCTTAATCATTCATTGTTATAACTGTTCACTCAAGGTTTTTAATTTTTTGAAACAATCAGTTGAAAAGACAGAATAGGAGTCCCTCTATACCTTCCTTCAGTCAGGAGAATAGATGCCTCTTTCCTAACTCTTAGTCAGTCTGGAAACCCGGAGGATAATTTGAACTACTTTGAAAGGCTTTTAATGATGTGAGTTGCAAAATATTACTTCTCCTATGTAGAGAATGAGCAGTGTATATGGACAGAATAGATCTTATACTTGTGGGAAATGCCAAGTTCAGAAGAAGGTGAAGGTGAAACTGGTATGAAGCCTTCTGCATCCACAATGAGATATTGCTTCAAATCTGATGTACTAGATTTTTGTCAGGGTGCTGATATTCTTTATTCCTTCCCCCACCTCCAGCTGACCCTGAGGCATTAGTATGCCACAGCTTTCCTTGACCTCAGATTTTTCCTTGACCTTCATACCCTAGCCAGTAACAGTCACATATTGGGCAAGGCAGTTCTTTGTTATAGGGGCTTTGCGGCAATCCTATGCATAAAGTGTTAGGTGTTATTACTGGCTTTTGTTGACTCTATTCCAATAAAAAAAAAAAATTCAAGCAATGATAATTAAAAAAATATTTCTAGCTTTACCAGATGTCTTCTGAGGGATCAAATTAACCCTTAGTTGAGGCTGGAGAAACATTACAGTACATAGGGCACTTGCCTTACACATAGCCAGCCCAGGTTCAGTCCCCAGCATCACACATGATCCCCTGAGCCCTGCAAGGAGTGACTCCTGAAAACAACACCAGGAGTAACCTATGAGCACCACTGAGTGTGTGGCCCAAAAACAAAGACAAATTAAGCCCTAGTTATATCACCACTGTAGCTGAAGTCCATAGAGTAAACGAGCCTCTCTTTTCACGCTTCTCTTAACTTAAGCTTTCCGACTCACTCAGCTCTAGTTTCTTGCCACTTTCCCTTAGTGGCTAAGAATATGGACTTTGAGTCCTAACAGACTTGATTTGAAGCTTGATTCTGCCACTTACTAGCTGTGTGACTTTGGGTGTGATGGTTAGTTTGTCTGATCTTCAATTTCTTCGTCTCTGACTGTGGAAGCAATAGCATTCATAGACTTAAAAGAGGTGATACAAGTAGAGTCCCTGAAAGACAGCATGTACCAAGTAAGTGGTAGAGAGTGTTGCTAATTTTATATCTTTTGCTCTTCTGCTTTTCTGTCAACACACACACACACACACACACACACACACGCACACACACACACACACACACCCTGACTTCTTTGTTTTCCAGTTCTCTTTCTAAAAGAAATCTCATGGCACCAAAATGTCAGCACTCTTGACCTTCAGCTTGCGTGGTTTGTTATCAAACATTTTAAAATCCCAGATAGAAGCTAGAGACTCTCTGTTTGGAGACAGTGAGCACCGGCTGGGAAGAGCAGGCACCTTGTGATTGGGAGTCCTCTGTTGAGAGGATGGGAGACTAATGCAGATTACAGGCTCTGGCCTTCTTTGAAAAAGGAATTATGCTCCCCAATAGATGCTTCAGCAAAAATTTTGAAAGTGGCATCCCTCTCCTTTACTTTTTCTTTTTTTTTGGGGGGGTGGGGGGTGGGGAATGTCACACCTGGCAATGTACAGGGGTTTCTCCTGGCTTTGCACTCAGGAATTACTCCTGGCAGTGTTCAGGGGACCATATGAGATGCTGGGAATCGAACCCGGGTCAGCCACGTGCAAGGCAAACGCCCTACTCACTATGCTATCACTCCAGTCCCCATCTCTCTCCTTTTCCACTACTACCTTCCTTCATTCTGCAGTTTCACTGATGTGGATTTTATTTCTTCCCTTGCTCTTTCCTGAATTGCTGTGCAGGTTTGCAGTGTGTATAGTTGTCTAGCTCACATGATCAGAGTGCAGATGAAAGGACAGGAAACGTGGGAAGCACTTGGAGTTTAAACGGCCAGGCATCTACCAGATGCTTAGTACAGGGCCGCTACAACCTTGCTGCCACTGTTCCACTTGCTCTCAGGATATTGCTCTCTGCCCTCTCAGGGATCACTGGCCAGCCCATTGAAGACTAAGAGTGGGGGGCTAAGAGTGGTGGGATGCTTTTCATCTACCTGATATTCAGATATGACTAAGCACTAGAAATTACCTGGTGATATAAAAAGACTAATGGGAACCAGAGAGCTAGCAGAGGGTAAGGGTCCATTCTTTGCATGCGGCTGGGTCCTCATACTTAGACACCTTAGAGAGCAACTTTCAAGCACAGAACTCCCCAGCGCTGCCAGGAATGGCTCAAAAATGAAAATGAAAAGAATCATTATTCCAACGGCTAATGAATAGAAGTGAACAATACATAACAAAAGGCATGAAGTTATTTTTGTTTTTGTTTTTTGTTTTTTTGGTTTGGGGGGGTGGAGAAGAGACTTTTTTTATCATAAGACTTGTTGACTCCAGTTCCAATATTGCTTTAGAGTAGTCTGTAATATCTAGTACTTACTGAACCAAGCAGTTGTGGATTTTCTCCTCAGAAGTTTAGGATGTTGCTTCACTAGGGGGAGAGATCTAGCTATGCTGGTCTACAAAACAGAAGGTGGACCTCATTGGCTTGACCTGAGGGCTGGGGATGGGGGATATTTTGCAGGTCATGAAGACATATCACATGTACAATGCTGACAGCATCAGTGCCCAGAGCAAGCTAAAGGAAGCAGAGAAGCAAGAGGAGAAGCAGATTGGCAAATCAGTAAAGCAGGAGGATCGGCAGACACCACGCTCCCCCGACTCCACGTCCAATGTTCGCATAGAGGAAAAGCATGTGCGGAGGAGCTCAGTGAAGAAGATCGAGAAAATGAAGGAGAAGGTACGTATACCCGTGGCTGGCATGGGGGAAGGAGACTTGGGAAATGAGGACTTACAACAAGATACTTACAACAAGATACCTTAAAGAAAAGAGCAGAAATCTGTGGGCTCCTTCGACTACCAAAAGTGAACTCTCAAAGAAACGGTAGCAATTCCAACATCTTGAGTGTGGATGCTGCAAGTTTTTAACCTGTAGCAGATAAATAGGAAACAGTAGACACCTCCCTGAAGCCTGGAGAAAGGACCTTAGACCTGGGATTTGGTGCTGCACATTAGATGTTGGGGGAGAGGGGAAAGGGTTAAAGGAACGGCACCTCCTTCAGGATGTTGGTACTAGGATAAATACGGGTAATTGCAGATAGAATCAAAGTAGGGCACTTATCTAAAGTAGAGGACCTCATTAACTTTGCCTGGATTGACCTATATTATGTCCTTGAATCTCATTAGGCAGAATTAGAACCCAATTTAAGACAGACGCGCAGAGGGAGTAGCCGCACAATTGTAGTTTTTGAATGTAGTGAACTTTAATCTTTTAGAGAATGAGCTCCCCTCTGGAAAGAAAAGAAAATAACATTGAACTTCTGTTCCCTTTTCAGCGCCAAGCCAAGTACACCGAGAATAAACTGAAGGCCATCAAAGCCCGGAATGAGTACTTACTGGCTTTGGAGGCAACCAATGCATCTGTCTTCAAGTACTACATCCATGATCTCTCTGACCTTATTGATGTAAGTGCTGAAAGCGAGGTGCCTAAGGGCTCTCTGTCTTGGTTTCTGAGTGCTGCTCAGGTATTCTCCAGATCTATTACTCAGGCCTTTAGAAGCATTTTGAAGACAGGCAGATAGTAACTATCTCATCTGCTGTTCACTGTTATCCCGAAGGACAGGCTTTATCTTCTCATTTTTTTCCCCACAGATTAATATTCAGAGAGCTTAGAAGACGTACAGTCAAACTTTGCACCTGGGTCTGATTACCAAATTCATGCTCGTAACCCATGTTCTTTAAGTCAGCTATTGCTTATAAAAGTGAAGGCAAGAACTGAAGAGCGAAAGAGTTAGCATTTAGAATTTGTTGGTCATCGCTGCACTAACACCATTTAGTGTTTGTCAGTAGACTGCCCTAGCACGCTTCAGGGTCAGTGTTGCTATCTCCAGTTTAGATAAGGAATAGAACACAGGAGTTAAGGGGTTAAGAAACTGCCTGGGAGATGTTGCATTGCAAGTTGTGGTCCTGGTCAGGGAGGACATTTGTCACATTCTTTCTGATAACCTGATACAATGAAAGGGCAATGAGCAGGCCACGTGTCTTATGTGGAGCAGGCACGTGGAATAAACTTTTTGGTCCTGACCTTATTTCTCTTGTTGCTTTCCCTCAAACATTTCAGTTGAATCTTACAGCCCTGCTCATCTGCTGGCCCGCTTCTGAGCCAGTCCTGACTAAACATACCTCTCCCCACTTTCATCCTGACTTAGCCTCAGCACCCAGGCTCCAGGGCTTCCTGCTCAGTGTCCTGACCTCACACCTGCTTCTGGTGGTGGGCAATTGCTGGGCCTCGCAGGCCTCCACCCGGGCTTACTCACCCTGGTTTCTCCATGAATGAACCTGTCACACTTCCCAGCCTCGTGCAGGGTTCTGATCTAATATTTGCTGTTTTGTAACAGGCGGGGTAACCTGGGGTTGGCACTGAACTGTTTCGGAACTCGGCTTTGTCTCCCCCATCTCCCCACTCCCTCTCGGGTCAACTGAAGAATTGAATTAGAACATTGGTACTTAAATCTGGCCTCCCATCAGAGTTGCTCGGGAAACTTTTCTAAAATGCGGATTCCTGGCTCCTTTCAGCTAAGTACTTTTGATTCAGTAGGTTTTGGCCTCCTAATGCCCTGGGTGTCATTATCTCACTCAGTAAGTGGAGCCTTGATCCCTGTTCAGGCGCCTCTTTGTTCTCTCTGCTTGTTGATGCCAATCAGAACGCCGTCCTTCAGTGGAGGTCAGAGCCCTAAACTGGATGCTTTCTCCTCCTCAGAAGCAGCTTCCTGAAGGAAGGGTCTCAGAGAAGGTGGTTTTTCTCTTGTCTTCAATTTTTACTCTTATTTTTGCAAGAAAACCAGGCTGTGGGGGCCGGAGCAATCAACAGTACAGTGGGGAGGGCGGTTTGCCTTGCACATGGCCGACCCAGGAGTGAGCCCTGAGCACAGAGTGGGCCCTGAGCATCACCAGGTGTGGCCCAAAAAACCAAAAACAGAAAGTCAGGCTGTGCAATTGGCCACCCATTTTCTACTGGTTTGTCCTCTCTTTTACACCCAGGGCAACTTTAGCCCTTTTTACCAAAATGCTGACCGGAGGTAGAAGGACTGCTCCTCACTCAGTCACAGCCTTTCTAATCCAGAACGCTCCATCAGTACGAGTAGGCAATGAAAGCCAACATGCCCCTGCACCTTTAAAAGGCTCATGTGAAGAGCCTGTCTCCACTGGTGCTGTGTGAAGTTTCATGAAAAGACGTGTAGAGCCTCCTTAACTCTAGGTAACTATGAACAAGGCTGCCAAGTGTCGGCCAATGGTTAAATTGCTCTGGCTTTCTTTGGTTTTGTTGTTGGGTTTTTGTTTGTTTTCCTGGGATAAGGACAGATTAATTTTTTAAGCTGATAACATTATCCTGCGCTATAAACGTTTTGTAAATATTTATTTGAAATGAGGTTATGTGCTTAGTATCAGGAGGACAGAAGGAATTTCGAACCCTAGAAATAAACAGATAATTTCTATCTAACTAAGGAAATGCAGCACTCAGGTAAGCATAGGGGGTCTCTCCAATAATAGTTTTCAAATTATAGGGGTGTTACAGGAGTCAGGAAATCACTTTTATGGATTTAGTTTATTTGCTTTAATGAGTCAAATCGAATAGAATAGGGAAGAAAACATCAAGGTCCATCACAGTAGTAAGATTAGTCTCACTTTGTGAAAGTGTTAGGTGTATGTGCAGGCACTCACAGGTATGCATATGTGTATGTGTGTGACAATCCAGGATGTATTTCTTTACTTTTTACTTTTTAAAAACACCATTTTTATTAGATTACTGAGTTTGCAATACTGTAAATTATATTTTTCACGCATCTGTCATTCCACACCACACCCATTATATAGGTTCCCACTTTCCTCCAACAGTATCCCAAAGACCCTTCCCAGTCACCTGCACTCCCATGTAAGCTCAGTTTTGTAGACATAATCATTACTTCCAATTACTTTGGCCACTTGTTGTTTCCTTACAATGTTTCTTTATATATCACACATATGAGAGAGAAAACTTTCTTATTTTAAATTTCATACTCTACCAACTGAGCTGGCCGGACAGTTAGGTCGTTCTTATTTTAGTTTATTGTAGAGGTATTGACACACACATAGAGATGAATAAAGCTAAACTCCTGAAGTTCTACAAAATTGCAAATCAATGAGCAGTTGATAAAGAAGTTTTTTCAAAAATGGTGTACATTTTAATAGATATATAAATTTTTAATTAATAGTATAAATAATTCTGTGTAATACATTTTAAAATTAATATGAAATAGAAGAATCCTACAAGTATGCAATTCAGTAAGGGTAAAGAGAAGGGGATTAAAAATTTACGGGAAAGCCTGAATGGACCTTTAAAGGCTTAAAACTGTATTTTATTCCAAAAGGGAATATTGGGGACTAGAAAGATGGTTCAACTGGTAGGGTGTTTGCTTGGAATATGAAAGACCTGAGTTCAATCCCTGATGCCCCATATGTCCCCCCAGCACCTAGGTCAGGAGTGATCCCTAACCACAAAGCCTGGAGTAAGCCCTTAACACTGTCAGGTGTGACCCAAAAACAAATGAATAACTGAAAATGGAATATTGGCTTTATAGTAGAGAATATTACATTATAGATGGTGCTTAAGTATCACTATCTATATCTTGTATCACTTGTCATCCAGTTGCTCATCGATCTGCTCGAGCAGGTGCCAGTAACGTCTCCATTCATCCCTGTCTCGAGCTAGTGTAGCCCAGTGGCATCTGCTCGCTCCAGGAACACAAGGAGAGTCAAACCGTTCATTCAGGGTCTTGACGAAGAAGTCTGACCATCTTGTAGGTGGGCGGCCAGGCTTTCTTTTGACATCCCGTGGAATACAGCACTTACAGTAAGTGCTTAAGTATCTGCATTAATAATAAAGTTTATAATAAAAATTTCTACACATGTAACAAAATTACCTGAATAAGCATAGCAATTCAATGTAAAAGAAACAATTCATGATTGAAAAATATATATAATCTCTTAGCAAGCAAGGACTAAACAAACTGTTCTTTATCTAAACAAAGGCAACCATAAGTAATACCATAAGTGAGTGCCATACTCGGGGCAAAGTCCTGAAAAGTTTGTCTTGTCTTTTAAAGAAACTCCTTTAATGGTTTCTGGCAAAACTGACTTCCCTAAGAATTCCTTGAACAGTTGCCTGTCTGTGAAACTCTGTATCATTTCTTCACATTTGAATGATAATCTAGCTGGATAAAGTATAGAGTACTCTTGGTGAGATGTTCTTTACATTTGTTTTTGCTTTTGCTTTGGTTTTTTGTTTTACTGTATCCCACCATTCCCTTCTGACTCATAGAGTCCCATAGATGTGCTGTGAATCTTTTGGATTTTCTTTTTCCCATAAATTCCTTTTTTTATTTTGCCGCTTTCAGTGTTCTGTCACTGACTTTGGTTTTTGTCTTAAGAGTTTTTCTACTTGTTTTTTTCTTTTCCACCGAGACCCTTCAGGCCTTTTAGATTTTGATGCCTGCGTTTATCAGTTCTGTGAAATTCTTTCATATGATTTCTTTAACAGTGGTTCTTCATTGAATTTGCCTTCCTGTTCTTCAGGGACTCTGATAATTCTTCTGTGTTCCTCCTGACCTCATCCAGTAGTTCTCTGATGTGCTTCTGTTGTTTTCTAGAAATTTTTTGCTTCTCATCTTAAAGCTCCTCAGTCTTTTCCTCAGCTACTATTATTCTGCTATTCAGACCTTCTATTGTGTTTTCATATCACCATAGTCTTCATTTCTGTCACTTCTGCTAGTAGCTTTCACATTTCTGCTCTCAAACTTCCTTAAGCTTTGCTGACTACCTGCGCCATCATTTCTTAAGCCCCGTAATAGGGTGTCACTAAAGACATTTTCTGAAGTTTGCGGAACTGGCTGGTACTAGTAGAGCCTTCTGTGTTATTATTGTTTTTACTCATTGAGCCTAGTAGGCATCTACTTGTCTTCCCCATTGTGTTTGCTGTATTCCTGCTCTGCCTAGAATGAAGCTTTATATTTAGCCCCCCTGGGAGACTGTGGGATTAGGCTGGGTGTTGCTCTTTTCCTTCCCTATCTGTCTTCAGTGGGTGAGAGGAAGTGTAAGTGTGAGCTGTGTGAGTTGTGAAAAATAGAGCTGTCGCAGGTGGATGCATACACAAATCAGGAGATGTGGGGAGAGGTCTCATGAGATGGCAGGGGACAGGTGTAGAGGCTCAGAATGTATATCTTGCTGAGTTGGAGGTCAAAAAAATTTGAAAGTCACTTCACTGCAGTGAAAATGATCTCAGTATCTTCTAATAGCTCCACAAGGGCAAACATCAAGTCTTCTCTAACCTTACTTACACAAGCATACAAACCTTACTACAGGGCTCAGAATATAGACTATTCAAGGAGGGACTAAGAAAATGGAAAGAAGAAGAATATTTCCCAAACCC